GGGGGGGGGCGACACACGGAGCTGCTGCAGCTGCTCCACAGTGCACATTGTGAAGGCGGTCCGTGTTGCACAGAGCCGCCGTCCCTCCATGCTTCGCCAGCGGACACGATCCTCCGGAGGTCCCTCTCTCCTCCTGCAGGACCCTGTGAGCCAGTGACATGGTTCGATCCCCGGAAGACACATCCGTCCGCTTGTGTTGACGACCAGAAGAGGAAAGGAGCGATGAAGTTTTCGGTCGCGGTGTTGTGGTTCCTCTCCCTGGCTCTCGGGAAGCACACTCTGCAAGGTAAGAACCAGTGTTTTTGTAAGAACAAGAACCCGATGAAGAGTTTCGTGATGCGATCAGCTTGTTGAACCCAGCTCGCACTTTTCAGTCAGCAGGAGAAAATGATGGGGGTCAGGTGAGGAGCAGGGGCGCGTTGGTGATTTATGAGAGGCTGGGAGCGCAGCGCCCTCCTGGGAGCTGAGGAGAGGCTGTGGAACAAGCTGCAGGAGACAAATGTGGGACCAGATCACATTTTAGAAAAAGTGAAATGAGAGGGGGGGATAAAGAAGTCCCTTACATAATAAAGCAGTGATTCTGGCAATGTGATGAAAAGTGAGGGATGAAATGTTGTGCCACTGTGGTGCTGAGCCACAGAACACTGCTCCAACTGCTGCATCTCTCCCTCTCTCACTCTATATGTTGATAGCAGCTCTACCACTCTAATCTGGAGATGGAATGGCTCTTGGCAGCACATGCTGTGAACCCCCCTCGCCATGTGTGCCTGTGAAAAAGAGCAAAGAGAGAGACACTGGTGAGATGGCAAGTTCATGAATTTGATTAATTCACCTTCAGTGACCAATTAGCTGCTGTCCCGGTGTCAGCCCCACACTTAAAAACACGAGGCAGCACTTTTTAAACAGACACTAATCTTCCTGTAGAGGAGTTTTGATTAATGACACCTTTTGGAAGCAGATTGAAAAGAGATGATTTGATTAGATTTGTATGCATATTCTAAAAACACTCATTGACCTGCACACATATTTGTGCAGGTCTCCAAAAGAGACTATTAAGATGTCTTTTCAGATGAATCCTCAATAATCAAGAGGAATCACTCACTGTTTTGTTTTGTGTAGTTACTCTGCACATGTGGTCACTTCTGCTCAGGTGATGTTCAGCATCTTTGACAATATGTGACCAATCAATATTCAGGCATGTGCTCTTACATTCCTCAAGCATGTCAATGACTGATGCGGTTTACTATAGTGAGCAGCCTTAGCTTCCCCCCAGAGGCACCTGTCCTGTTGCATTGTGGGTAAACTAGAGCAAGCCTGCAGGTTAGATTGTAAAGCTCGTGTGAAAAAGGTTCACCTCTTGGTTTTTCAGTGGTACATCCCACTGTGCATCCACAGTGAGCAGATGGTTGCGATGTCAAAGTGACCATACCACTGTGTCGCCCATGGGGTGTTTCAGCTTCAGGAGGAGGAAGGGTGTTTGTTTGAGCACCGGGTCACGGCTGCGCCTCCATCAATCATCAGAAAACTCTCATTTATCTCTCGAACACGCACATGCACACGTGCATATTGTGTGTACACGCTGTGCGTTGTATTGTCATGTCCTCTTTGTAGAAAGGACACACATACACACACTAATGCATCATAATGTCCTCACAGAGAATCAACCCCATCCCCCCAGCCGTCCGTCTGTACATTCCAATCAATATCATCTCCCCTTCACCTCTGCTCAATCAGCTATACACACACATAGAGACACACACACACGCACACACGCACACACAACCTTTATCTGAGGGAGGGAGCAGGCTCTTGTAGAATAATCCATCCCCGCCGTGTTTGACTAGTTTGGCTGCTGTGTTTTTGTTGATGAGGATCTTGAGACAGAGCTGCTTCCTGTAGAGATGGCAGACAAGATTCAGCTGATGCCCTCTTTTAGCCCTTTCCAAACTGAGTGCTGTGCTGGGGATCTGATGCAATGGGAGGTAATCAGTCTTAACAAGGCTTTTACTTTTTAATTCTGGTTACAAAACTGCAACATTAGGAAGGAAAGGCCCAAATCATTTTTTTGGGGTAAAAGATTTGCAAGAAAAGGCTGAATCTGATCTCCTTTATGACCATGCATACAGAACACACCTATGTACACAAGTACAACAAAGGAGACATGTTTTTTTCCTGAATATTCTTTGCTTGTAGAGCATTTCATAGATTTCATTCATTCACCATTCCCTAACGTCTGTCACGAACACCACATAAATGAGACAGCCTGTATAAAAACCTGTGTACAATCATAACTGGATCATACAGGCCTGTGTGTCCCTAACACTTCATTAGCAACTTAGCTTTACACACCTGAGCCTCCAACAAATCTGTCAGATATGGTAACAAGCACCAATTTTGTCAAGAAAAACCTAGTGTCTGTTTCAGCTGCACCCGTTTTAAAGTTCCGTATTGTAGAAAGTGAGATTTACATGTACACACAACGTGTATTCTATAGAGCAGGTCCAGGTGCAAGGTGCTTTAGAAATACTGTCAAAGTATGGTATGGTACATTTCACCTGGACCAGATGTTCAACCTTGCAGTGTCTATTTACATGAATTTGTTTTATTCAGTCACTTGGAAGGACTCATATTGTTTTGTTCGGCCTCTTCAAACTCCAAATCTCTCCTCTCTGCAAACCTACAGTCCCCACAGTTAAATGATGACGTCTACCAACTGCAGTGGGTGCTCTGAAAAAAGAATAATCTTCATGGCTTTGTCTCTGCTCCTGCTGCCCAGACTTAGCATTTTTTACATGCAGTATTCCTGTCTCGCTGTCTCTGCTGCCTGATCACCACCCTCCCTGATGTTCTTGGATTCAGAAAGTTCCCCTTGTCTGGCCCTGATGCACAGTGGCACTATAACAGTCCAGCCTTGACAACCTATAGCAGCTGAGGAGAGTGACAAGCTATCCTCGGAAAGTGACCTGAAGTCAGGGGCAGTGGGCTCCACAAACAGTTGTCTGTCACCCCAATGCTTTTAGATTAAAGAGCAAGACCCGAGGCACCAGCGAGTCATTGCACAATAAATCCAGTTAGAGCATTTTTGGTTCGGCTGTCTGTTCGCTTCATTTCAGTGCTGACCATCGACATTTACTAGTGAGTTTAACCAAGCTAGGCTACAGTCCCTTGCCTGTGGTTGTCCTGGTTGTGCATTACTGTGGAAAAATGAAACCAATCAGTTAGTGAGACTCGGTACCTTTTGTCCAACATAATTTGCATTTTGGATAAAAGATTAGGTTTTTTACTGTTCAGCACCAAATATTGAAAGCTTAGATGCAATATGTGAATCTATGATGCAATGGATAAAGTATGCATTGTGTGTATTCATCCTCAACCTATTTTACCACCTCAACACATCCATTCAGCGTAATCCAGTGTTAATGTCCCCAGTTTCCTCACCATGGCCTCAGGCTTACCATTATAATGTTAGCCTTCAACACGTTTTAATACTGCTCCAACCTTACTTACCAGTTCTGTAAGACTTTCAGTGACATTCCTAACCTTGAATGCCAGCTCGCTCTGGGGCTGTTATTTACAATAAAGGTAATATATCTATATATATCTATATATATATCTATCTATATATATATATAGATAGATATATATGACCCCCAAACTGGGAGAGTGGCTCCAACAAATTCAGCAACAAAAACAGCTAAGATACTGCGCAGAACCTTCAAACTCCCAGGACCCAAGCTTGAGGAAGACAATACCACCCCCCAAAAGCATCTGTACTGACAGTATGTGAATTGTGTTTAATAGAAAAAGTGCCACACACTGTATGAATGTCGGCATTTTAGTGAACAGCACTTGTATGGTAAAGCACTTAGAGCTGTCAATAAGATTGGAAAAGTGCAAAATAAAGATGTATTTTTTTTTTCTCTATTAACACTCCAAATGTTGCTGAGAACCATGTGTTAACTTCCATTTAAAAATGTTTTGCTGAAAACCCACAGTGACCAGATACAAAATGTAAGTTATTAAAAAACATTGTGGCCAGTTAGAACCAATTTTCACTTGTAAACTGATAGAGAAGTCAGTTAAGTTCAGAGAGACTAGAGTATTATGTTGTTGACTTTGGTGTTTTTATAGGATTTGTTGACATTAAGAAAAATATAGATGAAGCCGTCCTCATATTGAAAATAGCAGATTAAATGTTTGTAAAATCACCCAATGACAAAAAGCTATTTTACCTTATTGATTGTGAACATGAATAAAATGAAATTGTTATCATGTGATTTCCTGCATTTGCTGCATGTTTAATGGCAGATAAATAACACTGAAACCCCCTCCTCTCTTGGCAGTTACCACAGCAGCAGCACAGAGATGATCACTTCATGTGTGTACATGTGGAATGTGAGGGGATGGGTGGGTCGGTCGGTATAAAACCTCAGCTTAAGAGTCAAGTTGACATGGGAATTTGATTTCTCCTCGCTATCTGTTTGGCTGTCTGTTCTCATTCCCCTTGCCACTGTTTACTTCTCCTTACAGAGCTCCTCTCTGCTTCCACTCTCTGTCTCTCTCAGAGACTGCGGGGAATTGCTCCGGGTCGCCCTGTCTCACTCTGTCCCTTATCAGCTCTCTCCACTCTTCTGCTCCAACCCCCGTGTTTGAGCAGCCGCTGACTCGAACTTCTCATTTCTGTCTGTCTCTGTTGCAACACTGCAACTACAGGCAGAGCCAAATATCGCCGTCTTATGTAGACAAACGCTCGGAGCTCTGAGCTTGTTGAGCCGCTGAGTTACTGTGGGAGAAGCTTAAGTACAAATACCACACAATGCTCCGAGCATCCAGATTGACACAGTCAGCTCCATCTTAATTACACACAATGAGTAACAGAGAGTAGGTCTTGATGAAAGTAATATTGGACAGGACATGTTCTGTTGCTCTTGACTACTACACCACACCAATTTGTTTTCCCTGCACATGTAGAGTGGTTCCAGCAGTTAAGTGAAGGCTAACCAAACTGAATAACTCATTATACATTTCTTTCTCTGGGAGACAGTGTGTTTCCTGTAATTGTCTACCTAAGAGACCTGACATCTCCCAGCTGTCTGCATTTGAACAGTGGCTGGGTAGTGAAAGCTCAGTCCCTTCGCTGTCTCCTGCTTAGTGTGAGCGTCACTCTTTAACCGACTATTATGTCTCGTGCCTGACTGCACAAAGAGCTCTGAGCTCAGCTCTTCTCCCCTGGAAATTCATTCTGTCTGAGGTGATCATGTCAACGTGATCATTTTGTCAGCCTTGGGAGCTTAGATGCATTTGCTCGGCCGTGACCAGCTGTCAGGCCAGGGTTGACAGTGTGTGTGTGTTTGACTCTTAGGCCCGGACTTAATTTTTCCTTTTTGAGACTCTGGAGAGGTGATTCACTTTGTTCATGCTTGACTGTGTCTCTGCATGTTCAGAAACATGTGATACTAGGAAGGAGGACACATCTGTCTGTGCATCTGTGCACATGAATATAGCATGTATGTGAGCTCGCTTCCATTTTTGTTCAATAAAAAAATGTCAAATAAAATAATTTGTCTGGTTTATATTCTGAATACAGTTACCCACAGACCAAGGTTGTGATTCCAAGACACCAATATATATGTATCTCAAAAACTAGTAGATGGCGTGTCATAACATTTTTGCACATTCTACATGTACATTGGTGATCTCCTGTTTTCTTTCCTGATGGACTGGTTGATTCCCAAAACAATGTTCTGTAATAACATGTTTTTTGAAATGCCCCCGTGTGGTGAAAACATTTGTGGTTTTAAGTGAGATGTCTCGAGCAAGGCATGAAACTTGACACATTCATTTCCCACTCAGGATGAATTGTAGCCATCTTTCTAATCCCTGAATTTTTCCTGTGCTGCCACAAGCAGTATTGAATGACAATTTCAATTCATTCAATCGTAATACCTTTAAAACGAATGACTCATTCACATTGGCTTCAACGTGTCAGCTTCAACACTTAACAAAGATGTTAACGCATAAGTATTAAAGCTATGATTGGTTATCCTGGAAAAGCTAGCAGGAGCAGGCTCCACTTGCAACTGATACATCCTCCTATAGGCCCTGTTGTCGAAGCTAAGCCCCCACAACACATGAACGGCTCTCACCTGTCTGCCTTGAGAAGACGCCGGTCATACGCAGTGAGAGCACAGACAGGGTCCCCACAGGTACATTTCATCCAGTCCAAGTGAAATGATGGTCATGTTTACCACAGTCCTGCGAGGGCCACAGTCACAGGCTTTTCTTTTTCTTCAGACGTCTTTATTTATTGATGGCCATTGGGACATGAAGAGAATGGTAACAAATAAGCTAAAATGATAGATATTAGACGTTTTTCAGAAACAACTTACCAACTCTGGCTTTAAGGAGCGGCTGTTGCTCAGGGGGTCGAGAGGGTCATCTTCGACGCCTCCAGTCTGCATGCTGCAGTGTTTTTGGGCAAGATTCTGTGCGATAGAAAAACTGAGCAAATATAACACTGTATAAATGTGTGTGAATAGGTGAATGTGGCTTGTACTGTGAAGCTCTATATCTGTTTACAGTAGCAACAATTATTTGAAAAATCACTGAGTTGATCAAAATAAAATCTGCTTCAATTATTTTCTAGGTTTAATGTTCCCAAGTTTTAAGATGTGACAGTTTTGACCTGTTGACTGAAATAAACAATTTTGATGCTTTCATGCCTGAGTGGCTGTAGACCCTTGGCCTTCTTCAATATAAGCAGATGCCAAAGACGATTAATATACCATGAATTTATTAAATCAATTTCAGCACAACTTAAAAAATGATTTATAATAGTTCTTGTGCACAGTAACATTTTCTCTCCCATACTTACTTCTTCTGTCTTCTGTCCTCGTCCCACCAGCTCAAGAGGACTTTGTGTCGCTGGCTGAGATGGAGGATTTGTTGCTGAGGAACCTTTTCAGGGGTTACCAGAAGTGGGTGCGGCCCGTACAACACGCCAACGACACCATCACTGTCCGCTTCGGACTCAAGATCTCACAGCTGGTCGACGTGGTAAAGACACAAAACTCAGATGCATGAACGCACAAGCGGGAGGAAGTGTATAGAAATGTCAAGCTCTTTCAAGGTTTATTTATACGATGGGTTTTTAAGGTTGCAGTGAGAATAAAAAGCTCATCTTTGCTACAGACGGAGGAGGAGGAATGTAAGAGGGTGAATCAGTCTTGTATTTGAAAAGCCTCTCAAAAGCAAAATGATGGTTCTTGCATTTGAACATTTACAGGATTTCAGAAATTCTGAGGTCATCTGTTCCATCTACCGACCTTAAAAAAATCGGACAAGAAACCAAGAGGATGCTCCAAAAAGTTTAAAAATCGGACTTAAATATTCAGTGAACTCAACAGTTTAGTTATACTTTGAACCAAATCTTTTTCACAACATCTAAATGGAGTTTCAAAACCTGCCTGGGGAAACTTTAATAATGCATTAATTTATAGTCTGAAACGTGGCCAAACCCATGTGTAAGTTGTAAATTAGATGATGTAAACTCACTTTGGTAAAAAATTTACAAACACAAACGTAAAAATGACTGAGGAAGTGACATCATTTTATCTTAGTAATGGCACATATCCTGTCCTTGCTATTATTGCTGTTATTTTGTAGCATATGAATATTAGATGAGGGTATTTTAACTGTCACATCCTCAGTGCCCTTGAGCAAACTGGAGCCAGACAGAGGCTTTAATGCATCCAGGAGACCAAACCTGGCACCCAGCGTCTTAACACTGTTTGTACCTGTTAAGGAAACTGTCTGCAGAAATTAAAATTGCCTTATGTAACAGAGTTAATACAATTATGTTATGTCCCTCTGAAGGTTTTGTTTTTAACAAAAGGAGGAAAGGACAGAGGGGAGGAAGTAAAGCTGAACACCCCTAACAAGAGCAGGAGGAAAAGAGAAAGAAGGGTAGAGAGGGGTGGCCATTAGGGGGAGGTTAACGGAGGAACTGTCACACAGAGGACACACACTGAAGACTCAAGTGTGAGGATAAATGAGTCGGAGGGTGAGGAGCCATGGGATTTAAGAGAAGAGAGGAAAAAGGTTAAGAGGAAGGTCCAAAGTCCAAAGTGGTCCTTCGTAGCAGCAGAGGAAGTAATGAGGCCATCAGGCTGAGAGGAACCAGATCGCATGTATTATTTACACAAGGACACACACACACACACACACACACACACACACACACACACACACACACACAGCTCATCCTAACTCCACAGAGGGTCACATTTTGACTACATCAGCATTTTAATGTTTGTACTCCTGTCATGCAGAAATAGTTTCCAGGATAGCGCCATCTCGTGGTATTCTAGTTAAACTACTGTTATTATCCATAGATCTTTGTGCACAGTGGAATGGGTACACGGTCTGCTTTGCCCCAGAGCTTCTTGAAAACCATTAAATCTTTCCAATACTTTTCCCCTCTACCTCGGATGTGCCCTGACATTTTTAGGGGATATTACTCTAACCTGAAAAAAGCTAAAAAAAAGTCCACCCAGCAGTTTAAGTTAACACATATATGAGAGCAATATGATTTGGGATCTTGAGTTAAACACTGACAACTATTGGATTGCAAACCACAATACTTGTAAAATAAAACATTGTGTACATCATTAAGTTAGTTAAACTGAGCAAAGTCACAACGTAACACGCTGGATCATTTTTTAAAAATCATTCCTGATGGGATGAGATCATTATTTGATTTGCCTAAATGTTAGCAACTATTGGGCTGCTCAAATTTATGCAACCAATATCATTTTGTATCTTTTTTTTCCTTCATGCCCTCTACTCTAGTTTAACTATTTCATCTTCTGAATTTCTAGTCCACTTTTTCTCTCTTTACTACCCTCTTTCTGTGTCGCTCTCAGTTATTATCGAACCTTACATGGGAAAACTTTATACTGAGCAACAGAAGCAGCATCACCTATTAGTTTTGCCAGTGGTGTTGGTCATTGTGTTGTAACTTAAGCATCTCGCTCATTAAATGTTGTTGATAAATCCTATAGACACTTAAACCCTGAGTTGTTCTACTCTACTTTCATAGTGGCAACCAAGAAAAGCAATTAACCCCAGAAAAAAAGTTATTTCTAACTCTGGGCTTAATAAGTATTTTCTTTCATCCGGCTCAAGTTCTTGTCTCCCGCTTCTGGTTTCCTCGTCACCTCCTCATTAGCCTCTTTTATCGTTCACAGCAAGCACCACACAGATTTCTAACTCCCACTCTTTTTTCCTGCAGGATGAAAAGAACCAGCTGATGACAACAAATGTCTGGCTCTGGCAGGTAAATGATTAACACTACCAGTATTATTCACTGATACCAGATATTGCAGAGGGGCTAGTTTAACAGCTCTGAAAACATTTTGTACTATTGACAATGTATATTTGTATACTATACAAATATATCTAAGGAATCCACTGGAAATATCCTTTTAAACTTGTAATATCTTAATTAGAACAAAGCGAGAAGATATAAAACTTGGCTCCAACATTCAGATCTTTCAAACTAAGGTTTAAAAGTTTTGTACTTGACTTTTGCAGAGATACATTTACATTCTCGGTCCAAAGGACGACTTTTAAAATAAGAGCCACGAGGCTTGGATCAACCAAGTCAGTAGCTTCCTTTCAATCAAAGCTTAAAAACCTTTTCTTCTGATTTGACAAAATTCTAGTTCTCATATATGTAATGGCCATGCTAGAACTTCTGTCACACATTGTGTGTTTTTTATTCATCTTTGTCGGTGTATTTATTTGTTTTTATATATTTTAATTTATCTATTTATTTCGTTTTTTTATTTGCAAAGCATTTGTAGCCTTGTTTTTAAGTGGGGTTTAAGGATATTGTTATTATTATTATTTTTTCATTCATATAATTCAATGCAGCTACACTGTTGTTGTGTTTTTTTTTTTTTTTC